CGAGATCCTGAAAGAACCAGAAAGCAGGCACCCCAAATGAAAACAGGAGGATGTCATTTATAGATGTAAAATATTTTTATTTGTAAATGCTGATCTTCTAAATCTGTTTCCACAAATTCCAAAACCCATAACACTCTGTATACTTCAAAAAAATTCTTTTTTTTGTGTTGTTTTTGTTTTTTTTGTTTTTTTGCCAACATTAGATACTATTATACAGAACAGAAAAACCTGTAGGACAAATACTGGTAGGATGTTGGAATATTGTACAAGAGAAGAAAAATATTCAAGAAACAATTTCATACAGCTATTTATCAAGAGAAAAATATATACAATTGATTTATTCTGTAAGATAAAAATACATCATGCCATATACATTACAAGTTCAGAACTGTATTACTGAATATACCAACAGTTTACAGTCCACTTTAATTGTGCACACAAAAAAAAAACTTCATTTTTTTTTTTTTTTTTATATTTAGCCTGTGAAGTGTCAGTATATATACAATTGATTTATTCTGTAAGATAAAAATACATCATGCCATATACATTACAAGTTCAGAACTGTATTACTGAATATACCAACAGTTTACAGTCCACTTTAATTGTGCACACAAAAAAAAAACTTCATTTTTTTTTTTTTTTTATATTTAGCCTGTGAAGTGTCAGTACCAGAATTTTAAGTACAAAATAAAAAGCTAACCTGGTTCAAAATGCTGATTAAATTTCTACAAGCAAACACAAAACAGTGTTTATTTTTTAAAGAAATGTAAACAAAAACAATCCATACAAACACATCTTTAAATTACATTTTCCAAAACCCTATTGCCAGAGTCCTGCAGCTGCAAGCACGTTACACCTAGCTTTTTTTCTCCTTGTTTTCCTTTTACGAAGGCTATCGTATCAGACTTAAGCTCCAACTACGTGATTCTATGCCGTTTACGTGATTTCATGGCGGCTGAACAGTCCCCTAATCTTGACTACTTTTGCCGAAGAAAAAACACCGTCCAGCCTCTGTTTGGGGTGGTTTTAGCAGTTATTCACAGTTATCACAAATTGTAAGCACAAAAAAACCTGACTGAAGAAATAGGGATGCAACAATATAATACAAATAAAATTAATCTAAATTACCCAAACATCTACAAAAGTCAGAGTTGTAATATACACGCCCTTACCAGGCTTAAGGTTTACTTAAAAAAATTCTAAGACGACCACAGTTGAGACTGCTTTAAACATAAAAAACCCCCCTCTCTCTTTAAATTGAGATTTTGGTTATTCTGTAATTGTAATCACGTGCCTGTTAATACATGAGATCATATTGTAACATCCCTATTGACATTTTATAATAAGCACCCGAACTGCTGCAGAATCTGGTAGCATTTGGTCAATAACTATTTTTATACTGTATTTTTTTTTCCCCCTCAAAATATTTACACTTTTATACAAAGTAACAGAGTTTGTTAGTCTGCAGGTAACAGCAGCAGCTTGGCTTTCTTCTAACTTTCTTTTTAAAAATAGCTTCATTCACTTATTCAATAATAAATACAAAAAGGTTCTCTTATTTTACAGAAATCAAAAACTACAATAAACTGACTCATGGAATCAAGTATTTAAACGTATTTTAGTGCAAGTTATTTTTTCCCTTAGCTCTATCCCTAAGGAAGTCGTTTCAGTACATTCCTTGTTCAGTGGTGTCTACTTTTATTTAAAATTTTTCTTTAATTAGAGGGCCTGCCCCTTTATCAAATAAGGCTGTGGCCAGCACTTTGGACTTCTCCCTTTCGCTGGTGATTTCAGTCTTACATTCATATACGCCCACCTGCACTCCCGGGTGCAGGTCAGCCCTCGGTTCTTTGCCCAAGTTAAACAGTTGCTCCTTAGTGAGCTCGAAAACAAAAGTGCTGGACCATTCTGTTAACTCAGTTCAACCTCCATGTGTCTGGAAAGTCAGCTTCAGATTTTGCCGGCTTGCTTCTGGTGCTTGTTTGGGTTTGGTTTTTTTTTTTTCCTTTTTTTTTTTTTTTTTTTTTTTAAATACTTGGGTAAAAATCTGTACTTCCAGAAGTGATTTTTTTTTTTTTTTTTTCTCCCCTTCAAAAAGGCAACAATTTTCCGTCGACAAAATCAAAACGTGAATCACTTCTTCCTAGGGACAAGCAACCCTCAAAGACAGCAAGGAATGCATTCTAGTTCATCCACTTTCGGCAGTTTACAGCTCCACAGTGACATGGAATCTTGTGCTGGTCATCTTCAAAATCAAACTTATAGTCATAGCAAAGCTGGAAGAAAAGGCAGGAGAACGGTTATGGAAGACCCGGGCTTTACCCCAGCTCTCCCCCTACTACAGGCTAAATGGCAAAGTACGCACGAGGTTGCGCTGTGAGGAACCGGCAAGATTTAGAAGGAAGAGGGGAAGGGAAACGTCCCTCTCGCCCCCTGCCCCCGCACAAGGAGGCTGTGCTGCTGGCCGCGGAAACCGCCCGCGAACCTAGAAATGACCGCGAGTAGCAAGAGGCAAGTAAAAACAAGTGAGACCGCCCTACCTCCTCCCCTTTCTGGATTCTCCTGCTGGAGCTAATGATAATTTTGTGTCCTCTCTCAAAAGTTACCACCTCAGCCACACAGTTAGGTGCACACGAATGGTTGATATACCTATGAAAACAGAGTTTGAAGAAGGTAACCTTTGAAGAAAACGCATCCCTTGAGGCAAATTGAAACCAAACCTTAGAACGCCCTTAGCTTCAGGAGCACACTGACTTGCCAGATATAATTCTATTACTCTGTACTTGTTTCTTTACCTAGAAAACGTCAAAAAAACCAACCGTTAAAAACCAGACTCCATTCTTCCTTCATAGCTGCCATGAAATGTAATCAAAGATGAGCAAAGCTAATGAAAAAGACGACGTTACTTCAGCAGAATAGTCTGAAGACTAAATGTCCCAGCTCAGAGAATAAAAACCATCGAGAAAACCACAAAGTCGAGCCCCTCACAAAGAGCCCCAGGCCAGGGAAGGTGGATGACTGCCCCGAAGGAGGTCAGAGATCTCTCCAGAGCCACCCACCTTGCAGGACCTCCCGTCAGGGTAGCGTCGATGACGTGGTCGTTGTCAATGCGGAACATGTACACGCCGCGATTCTGAAAAACACAATCGGAAAAAAGACTCTTGGAGACTTTACGTAACCGCCCACGATTAAAACCGGAGCAGCACGGTGGGTTACCTTCTGCAGTCGGGATCAGACCTTGCCCGCTGGCACCGGGAAAGGGCGAGTCACGTACTGCCCTTACCCGCGCCGCTTTGTGAGGGAATGCACGGGTCATAAGCACGCGCCTCTGGCAAATTAATATTTCCCTAATAGCTTCTGTGCTGCCTTTCATCTAGGACCTTGCAGTGGTTCCCAAATATGTATTGTTACAATAGCGCTGAGTTACAAAAGGAGGTCGCTTTACATCTAAAGTAGTTCTCATTAAAGAGCTGAGGTGCTGACATCTCTGTCAGAGCTCCCTCTGTCCCCCGGGACACAGGATACGTATTGCTACCTGGCCAGGGCACTGCGAGATGTATTAAATATTTAAATCCTCTGATCCTTTGATAAGAAACACTGTAGACGCCTCTGGTTCTATTTTTAGCCTACTGCATTTATAGCACAGCAGCACACAGAATTCAGGGGACCGGAATTCATCAAGTAGAAGCAGCGCGTTTGATTTGTTGTATGAACGTCTGAAAGGGGAAGGGGAAAGAAACAGTGAACAAACACCACCCCTACCTGAGATTCATAAAGCTTCTCTTTCCTGTTTGCTACCTCATTCCGGATAATGGTTCCGATGTATTCAATGACCATAGTGTGCTTTTCAATGTCTCTAGCAGCATATAAGCCCAGGCCCTACAAAAAATACGTTGCCATTTAGAATTCTGTAATAAATTTACATTTACTCTGCATTGCTCACCGTGCCCCAAAACCGTTCCTGCAGAAAATCATGTGAAAAGTGAAGTGCCCAGAAAGAACGCGGCAGCGCAGGGAAGGAACTGATGCCGCAACAGCCCAGACGCAGAACCCAGCTGCACATTAAATGTTTAAGATGCAAGAAAACGTACTTGGCTGCTGTCTAGGTGAGAAAGCGTCTCTTATACCTCTGACACCTCACTGTGTAAAGATTATAAATTCACTGCAAAATAAAGCAGGCCTTACTAGAACGGAGAAACCTAACAGGAACACAACAGCACAGTTAAGTCCAGCCTGAAATAAACACCAACTGTGTTCATACGGAGCAAGATTAATGACAAAGCTTTTGCAAAACAGTCTGTGGAGCAAACCACCCCCAATATTACATAAAGCCACAAATTTCTTACGATCATGAACGCAAACAAGTACTGAGCTCTTCATGCTGCTCTCATACCACTGTACTCAGCTTGGTCTGAGCATGTCATACTTCCACTGTGTATTTGTATTTTTATTTAGTTTTACTAAGTTTTTGAGAAATATGCTTTAAAAAAAAACCCAAACTTGAAAGAAACGTTTTTCCTAGATGACTGTAACAAATGAGTTTTTAAGATATTTACAATAATTAGAAAGAAATCTTACTTAAGGTAAATCTGTGGAATTGATTTGCCACATAAAAATTGCCAATTTGGGGACGAGACTTGAAGGAATGTTGCAATAACTTTACTTTCAGTTTTGTAATATAAATTTTATAGAACTATTTATACACAAATATATAAAAAGAT